ATCCTAAAGACTCAACTAAAAAGTTGATTTATAATTTACATGATAATCATTATATATTTAAAAGGAGTAACAAGCCATACATAATAGATTTGCAGTTTCATGTGCAATCTTTTTGATCCTATGTTACAAAAATGCTTGTTTTATTTCATAAATTAAAATAAAATAAATTTTTAAAGCACGAGCAGTATGGAATTGAAATTAACAGTTTGATATAGAATCCTATTTTTCTATTACACCTTTGCATATAGAAATGCTCATTTTGAGGGATAAGAATAGTGTTTTTCAAGTTCAAAATAATTTTTTTTTCAAAAAAAGAAAAAAACAGCTTAAAGTAATTAGAGGTCTCTGCCTGCTACAGGTTCTGGGAGAGGATGGAGAAGGAGTTAAGCTTCCACTGTCCTTGAGTTGATCCAAAGGATTGACAATTACCAGTAGCCTCAGTCTGTTACAGCACACAGCCCTTCCCCAGACTTTGAACAATGAACAGAAGAGCTCTAACCAAATCAACAGCTCCCAGAGTTAGTCTCTCTCTGTTTTTCCTATTTAGTCATTGCCTTTCTCACTTCTTCTTTCTCATTTCCCTCAAGTATTGTGAATCTTCCCCACCCAGTAACAGAACTTATACTATCCTCTTTGTGCTACAATTCCCAAAGGTCCCTGAAGCTATGATCAGGAAGTCTGGTTGCAAGCATAGGAAGGGGCCAGGAATGCAACTCAGCCAATAGCAGAGAAAATGACCTTGGACCTCTAGACTTGGCATTGTCCTTCTGTACTTTTCTCCACCCACTCATCTACATGGGTAAACACAAGAGACTTAGGGTTTACGGAAACCAGTGAATTCTGAGAATTAGAATTATTTGGTAACTATTCCACAAATAATCATTACTTTGTTAATAGTTTGACCTTCAGATATTAAAATTTGGGAAGTGTATGGAATGCTTACCATCAATTAGAAAGAGTTCTCTGACTCAAAGTCCTCAGGGGGAAGAGAAATTCAAAGAAAAGACTAAGGCTTTAAGCCTTAGTCAACTGGGAGGACCGTGCTTTTTGGTCTAAACTCTAAAGAGATTGGCACCTGAAATTAGTTATTTCCTGCTAGAGAAATGAGAGGGAGGGAGACTTGTTACATGTCCTAGGGCCAAGGTTTTCTGACTTTTCTAAAAGAGCTGGAAAAGGGTACTAACTGAAAGAATAAGGCAGCACCCACTTTTCCTTGAAGATAAAGACTATAGTCAAGCAGAATCTGGCACGGACTTCATAGCCAGCCTATAACCAGTATTTGGTGGAAACTATGAAATCAACAATAAGCAGTCCTAACAGAAGCAGTATGAACGTCCAGGCCTTCCTACAATGTTAAAGAATAACTTTCTCCTCTATGTATGTGCCTTAGACACACATTTTCTCTATTTGTGTACCTTGTCTATATGTATTCCCAACATACATGCCTCTCTATGTGTATTCCCTACTGATGTGGCTATTTATGGAAAAATGTGCCCCAGGTTTATGAAGGAATTTTTTGTTAGTATTTTTTTTACCATTCCATTTGACTTCAAAATTGTCTTTGCTTTCAACTAATCAAGTTCTTTGGCTTACTATTAAAGTTGAATAAACCATAATGGTTCTGCTGTGGGACTGCCTTACAATACAGAAGATGACCTTAGGTGATGCACTTAGATGTTCCAGATTTTTGAGATCTTCATTAGATATCATCAACATGTGATGATATCCTACTGACTTTCCCCTATTCCATTCACCAAAAAAAATTGACAGCTTAATCTTCTTCATGAGCAAATATGTTCATATCACAGTAACTACCAGAAAATCTTCAATGGCTCCCCCATTGCCCTCAGGAAAAAAAAAAGTAGCTCATTCTTTACCTGGCATTCAAGGCCTCCACAATTTGTCTCCAATCTACCTTTCTAGCCTTATATCAAACTACTTTTTTATTTATCTTCAAGTTTATGTTCCAGCTATGCTGGACTACTCAATTTCCTCTTATGTTGCACTGCATTATCATTACTACTGTTATTATTCCATTTTTCCATTTTTTTCATCCCAAGTCACACTTGAATACATTAGGTGGCTAATAAAGGTTTTTTTGAGTGAATTAATGAATGCTATTAGATTGAACACAGAATAAACTGACAGTCAAACAACATTCTCATGCCATTTTGCCTAGACAGCATAAAGGGAAATAAATTAACTAGCAACTATTGGGGAAATTTTTCTTCAGGTAGGCAAAGGCACCATGGGCCCTCATATATGTCCAAATTTTAATAACTTCCATACAGGTATACCTCAGAGATATTGTGAGTTCAGTTACAGACAACTGCAATAAAGTGAGTTACATGATTTTTTTGGTTTCCCAGTGCATATAAAAGTTATATTTATACTATACTGTAGTCTATTAAGTATGCAGAAGTATTATGTCTAAAAAATGTACATACTTTTAAAAAATGCTTTGAGCCTGTAGTGAGTTGTAATCTTTTTATTGATGGGGGATCCATGTTGATGGCTGCTAACTGATTGGGGGAAGGTTCAGGTGGTTGTGGCAATTTCTTAAAATAAGACAACAATTCAGTTTGCTGTGTCCATTGACTCTTCTTTTTGTTTAAACAACAATTAGAATAGCAACAACAAAGATCACTGATCACAGATTACCATAACAGATAGAATAATAATGAAAAGGTTTAAAATGTTGTGAGAATTAACAAAATGTGACAAGAGACACTGTGTGAGTACATGCTATTGGACAAAGTGTACCCATAGACTTGCTTGACATGGGGTTGCCATAAACCTTCAATTTATTAAAAATGCAATATCAGTGAAATGCAATATCTTTGAAGCACAATAAAGCCAAGGTATGACTGTACTTTTAAAAAGAGCTGAGCTCTAAAAAAGATATCAAGCAGTGATCTCCTAGAAAGGCCAGACAACAAATAGTTACCACTTTTATATTAGAAGCAGTAACTGGAACAATCCAAGTAGCTATTCCTTGGAGCCTGGAAATACTCAACCAATATATTCCTTCCTTAATGTGAATGTCAAAATGGAGGACACCACAGGAATGTGCTCAGACATGCTCTTGAGTACACACACACACACACACACACACACACACACACACACACACCCCTCTGGGCAGAAGCATCAACTAGCATAACTATGAATATTCAGAGCTTGCAATTTGATAGTTCCACTGTTACTCAGTCCCTGTATATCCTGCTTCCTTGTCCCTTCCCTGTCTCTCTGCTACCACACACCCAGCAAACCAGCCTGAGTGATTTATCTTGCACAGGGATTAGAACTTACACATACTATTGTCAATGGAAAAATCTCATTTGGGGAATTTCTTGGAAAAGCAACAAAGGTGCTCTGCATATTTCCTGTGGTGATGTTCAGGAATCTTGTTGACTAGAGGAGAATGGGGGCAAAGTCTTGCTTACTCACTTATTTTTCCAAATAAAGAGAAGGATTAAATATTAACTTTTCTACAAACTCTGAGAGAGCCATCCAGAACAGAGATAGTTTGTATATGTAATTGTTTATACAGGTTATTCTTTTCATACGTACTTAGCAAATTAAATATCCAACAATGAATTTCAATCCTTCACCAATGAATTCCTCCAAGTATGCCTGTACTTATAGGCATACTTACAATTTATTCTCTTATATAAAAATGGCAATGCTTAACCCATTATAATGGTTATATAACCCTAGTCATATAACCATTATTCCCCTTCACATGCTCCAACCTCAATTGCTACTTGTGGCCAGATCTGTCCTTTTCTTCCTCCTGCAGTGATTTGGGCCGAGCCTCTCTCCATATCTCTACCTCTGCTTTTAAGGCTCACATCAGATGCCACCTCCTTCATATTCCTGGTTCCTCCTCCCAATTATTTTGTGTTCAATGAGTATTTAATGAATGCTTCTTCTGTAGCATATGGGAGGGAGGCAGAAATGAGTGGTTGGCCTAGGGGCCACTTTTTCAGCCTTCCTCCTCATCCACAGCTATAACTGTAACATCTGGTAAGTAATCATTATATGGCCTATGTTGATGACCAGTCCCAAGTCAAGGTTACAGATTGTACTAAAATTCTGATATGAAGCCTAAGAAAGATGCACACCAGAAGTTCCTTTCTTGAGGTCCTGGTATATACTGCTGCAGAAAACACAGGTATGTTTTACTTAGAATAACGGAGAGCAGGGAACATGACCTTTAAGTCTCAGAAAATGGGCCCAGACACTAAGCAGAAAAAGAAATCATTTAACTTCAACTTTAAAGGAAGACTGATGTTTCCAACGTACTGACTCCTTACACATTTGCCTTAACTGACCAAGTAAGAGTCTGAGTGTACTTATTGAGAAATAGCTAAACACGTATATGTGAATATAATGAGGTGGCGTTGCACCTAATTTAGAAACACCTAATACAGGGGCAGCTTGGTGGCGCAGTGGATACAGTACGCCGCAGTGGATACAGTACCGGCCCTGCAGTCAGGACGACCTGAGTTCAAATTCGACTTCACACACACATAAGGCTCACTAGCTGCGTGACTCTGGGCAAGTCACTTAACCCCAACTGCCTCACCGGAAAAAAAAAAGAAATAGCTAATATAAAGAACAAACTTGGGAAGACCAGAATACACTGAGGCAGAGCCCAAGTAAGCAAAACGATATACACGATGATGACATAAAAACAAAGGAGAAAACAATACTGAACGACTTAGTAAATAGACCAACTGGTGGACCAATCTCGTTCACAGACTGAGAGTGAAGCATGCCCCTGGCCTCTCCGAAGAGAAAAGGTGGACTATAGACAGAGTTATACAAAATTTTGTTTCACTGAAATTTTTGGGGGTGGGGGCATCATCTGACTCTGAACTTTTTTTTTTTTGAGGAAAGACAAAGTGAGTCCAGGACTGGAAGTCAAAGACTTTTATATCCCTCCCTACCCCTTCCCCAGATAACAGCAACAACAACAAGAAAGAGTAACTCACTGTGTGATGTTGAGCAACAGGCCTGTTTCGTCCTCCAGTAATGCGGAAATGGGGAGATGAACTCTTAAGAAGGGTTCCTTTTAGAACTGAAAATCTATGAAATGAAAACGGGAGATGAAGAATTAACAAAAGAATTAACAAAAGATTCTATCACCAGGCACTCGTTCTTGATAAGAAATCAATGGGCTCTTACTATGAGTTGGCTACCGTGCTAGGCTCAGAGTGGAGAAAAATGGCCAAGATAATCCAAAAAGGGACAAGCCAAGGAAGACAAGCTATGTACGAAATGTGGTCTTTTGGGCTCGGCTCATTGGCCTACAGAAGAGTCAGTAAGAGCGAAAAGAAACGGAGAGGAGAAAAAGGGGAGGGTGTTAGGAGAGGAAAGGGAAAAATTGTTGTGGGCGTGTGTTTGTGTGTAACTGTTGTGTATGCGTATTCATGTGTGATGTGTACGTGTACATGTTGGTGTGTCTGTGCGTGTATTGTGTGGTGTGTGCATACATTTGAGAGGCAACATATAACGCAGGAGTGCTCTGTTAAACTTTTTCGGAACTAAGGAGATCGTTACTGTACTTTCAGTCTGGAGACGCGCCCTCTTTCCCAGCCTAACACTTGGAAACTCCCTGCTCCCTTGCTCGCCCCAGTGTGGGAGTGGCTCTGGTATGGCTGAGAGGGATTGCTTTGGGCTTTCGGGCTCCTAATCAGCGAAATGGAAACCGCTGTCGAAGTCCGGGAGCTTATTCCCGGAATACCTCCAGGGGGCAGCAGAGGGCTGTAAAAGATTGTATTCAGCCGTGGAGACGAGCGGTAACTCGCAATGGGCTAGAGACACAGCAGGCTTTCAATTATGAAGGAGGCTGGCAGGCTGGCTGGAGTGGACGACCTTGAAATAGAGTCATTCTGGGTCTAGTAACGAGGTCCCCCAGTACTTTCCCTTTGTTCTCAGTAATATCTCTGTTAAAGCTTAGTTTCCTTTTAGCAGGAAGGAGTAGAGTACCAGAAAAGTTTGATTTACTTACATTATACGTTGCAGAGAAGAAAAACAAAAGCAGTGCGGTTGGGGGAAAAAAGGGCTCGTCCGGGATTTGAACCCGGGACCTCTCGCACCCAAAGCGAGAATCATACCCCTAGACCAACGAGCCACACTTATATACAGATGATTGAACTCCTTGTGTGTCATACACAAATGCATTTTGTTTTCTGGTTTGAACTAAATAGTTTATCTTTTTTCCCCTTCTTCTTACCTCTCATCTGTTATTTATCCCACCACGACATCATTTACTCCTCCTCTGCCCCCATTTCCCCTCCCTGCCTGCACCAAACACGTACTAATTGGTTGATTCCACTTTCAACTTTGTTCTACTCAACAGAAGTTGTCGGAAGGATATTGACCAATACTTTGATGAGACAGAAGAGAAGCGGAGGGATAGAGTGGGAACTAAGAACTTCATTTCTGTAGAAGGAATGTGAGTCTTGAATTCAGGGACCAATTAACTAGAGACTCTGTCCGCTGTCAGTCACGAATGCGAATGAAAACCGTTACCGGGCAGGGAGCTGCAGCAAGTAGTAGGGACTGAGCCCTTTGCCCCGCGCAGTGCAGGGGACACTATTTTTTGCGTGCTCTTTGAGGCAGGACAGAGTCGAACAAAAGAAAACCTCCCCAGCAGCATTTGCAAACCCTCCGGATTGAGCGGAGTCCTCGCCCTTAGATTAATGAACGAGTCTGGGAAAGAAGGAAACTTCCTTGAGAGGAGGAGGAGGAGGAGAAGGAGCAGTTTAATGGAATTTAGTCTTTTGAAAAAAACCCACCAAAATGAACTATTTCGTGACTCCCTTAACATGTGCTATGTTATGCAGTCTCTACTTTTGTTCTGGTGGTTCCTCTCCACCCCCCAGCCCAAGTACTTTAGTCCCATCCATCTCTCAAAGACAAGCTCAAATGTCGCCTTTTCCCAGAAGACCTCATCGATCCTCCAACAGAATATGATCTTATTCTACTCGGAACTCTTAAAATACCTATTTTTCTTTTATGGCTTTTTAAGATTCACTGAATCTTGGAGTGTGAAGGGATTTGAGGTCATCTTGTCCAACACCCTGATTGCTACATGGATTCATTCTGCAATATCCCCTGTAAATGGTCATCTAGCTTCTACTTGAACACCTCCAGGGATGGGGGACTTAATTTCCTCATTACCTTTCTCAGTAGTAAGCAATACTATTCGTCTTAGAACAACTCTCAGTGGTGGGGAAGTTATTCCCTATACTGAGCTGAAATCTGCCTTACTCCTAATTCGAATCCCCATTCTTTCCTTTTTGGAAGCAAGCAAAGTGAGTCTAATTTTCTTCCATGTAATAGGCCTTCACATGTTCACAGGAGATAAACCTCTCCACCCTTTTCTTCTCTAGTCTAAATTTGCATACTCTGACCTCTTCTATTTTGTATCCTCCTTGACAGTAGGAATGATCACCTTATTCACTACAGTATTCCCCCACAGCTCTCAGTTATTTGTTGAATGAATAAACCTTAAAAAGGTATATAAATATGAATCTGGTTCAAAAAGTTTAAGAACGCCACAGAAGACTATATAATCTCACTCTGGAATGTCAACCATAAAAGTAACATTGTATATCCTTTCCATAGCTCAGCCGGTAGAGCGGAGGATTGTAGGGTTTGAAACTTGTAGTAATCCTGAGGTTGCTGGTTCGATTCCGGCTCCAAAGAGGTTGGTTGTTTTCTGCTGTTTCAAAATACCCAGCATTTTCTATGTGATTATTTACGTTTGTAATCTAACAAGCATTATTCATCCCGTAATCTAGAACTAATTGTGTCACTCACAGAAAGAGTAAATTTTTTAGTCTTCTCATCCTCCTCTTCGGAATTGGTATAGTAGTTAACATTTTCATTATGCTAATCACAGGATTACCATGAAGAAAGCAAAGACCATAGCATTCAAAGTTGGAAAGAAAAAACTTCGGAGGCAGAGTCCAATCCAAGCCCATCATTTTGCAAATAAGGAAACCGAGGCCCAGAGAGGTGACATGCCTTGCCCAACGCCATAATAGTAAAGGGCAGAAACCAAGTATTCTGGATCCAAATCAGTGCTCCTTTTACCTTTACGCTTTTAGTAAACTCTAAAGCTTTGTAAATAAGAACTATTATATTGAGATGGCAATAGAGGCAAATCTGTATGTTGGAGATGAGACACGTTTGAGAGGTAAATATCACCCTGACGACGTGACCTGCGAGAAAGAGAAAAGGCTGCAAGGGTAGACGTGTCGGGGAACCGGATTTGGGTTAGATTTAAGGAAAAACTTCCCCCAACTGCAGCTATCCCACTGAGGAATCAGCTGCCTTACCGATGTTTCAGTGACTGCCGTATGACTACTTACCAGGATTATTGTAGAGTCTTGATGAAATACCAGTTGAAAAAGAAAATTTTTGCAGTTACTTCTAAGAGTTCTTAACTCAGAATAAATCACTAGTAGGGAGAACGGAGGGGGGGCTGAAGGAGAAGAGGAGGAGGAGGGTTGTAATGGGGAGAGGGACAATATAGAAGGGAGCAATGTTTGAGGCCCTAGGATAGAATTTCTTACGTGAGTTCCGGGCCAAAACAGAAGCTAAAGGTCTGTATTATTACTGGATGTTTAAAAAAAAAAGTTTTTTTATCCAACATTCCAAAGGTTCAAATTAAACAACTTTCTTGAGGAGTTATTGAGAGATGAGGTAGGGAGAGAACTGAATACTGAAGCAGTTTTGAGTGTTCCAAGATAAGAGATGAAGTTACCTACAACATATCAGGACAGATACACAATTATTGAACCCCATTTCTGAGATTCTGAGCAAACAGCTTAAAGAATGATCGCTTGTTAGAGGTGTGTCTCTAAAACATCGGCAATCCTTCGAGCCGGAATCGAACCAGCGACCTAAGGATTCCTACAGATATCGCAACCTACAGTCCTCCGCTCTACCAGCTGAGCTATCGAAGGGCACTCGAAGTGAAGCTGCCAATAGAATCCCCTTTATAGGGTAAGTAGCTCTGGCAAGATTAGCTCTGGAAGTTAGACGTTTAAGTCTTTTTTTTTTAATGCAGTGATTACATTAATAGCTAGTCATATTCATCATCGATAACTACACTATCACTTTAAATCTTCAAAATGCATTGCTCTCCCTCTAGTTGGTAGATGTTGAGACCCAGGTGCAAAGCCCTCTGCTAGCTCCTAGGCTTTGCTTTCTACTCCTAAAGGGTCTTTGTAGGAGCTACAAATGGTCTTCTTGTGACCAGATTCCTCTAAAATGTACAGATATAAAATTGATGCCACCATGATTTCTGAGAACAATTGTCCTGAAAGAAGAGGAAAATGTAAACGCCTGGCGTCTTGTCATTAAGGGGAGAATACTTTAGAAACAACCTCAAAATCTCAGAGTTGGAAGAACCACAAAAGCCATCCTGTCCAAACTGTACCTGAACAGAATTATACAACAGCCTCGACAAGGGGGCAGCCAACTTCTGCTAACTTGGTCCTCCAATGAAAGCTCTGTTCCCCAAAATATATGTATATTGTCATATATGTAATAATTAAAAAATAAACACCTTTGCCATCAACATTTGTTCAATGGCTATCCCGTGATATGAATCATGTCTCTACTTGTTTCTTTGCTTTCAACATGGCATAGGGTATTGCACCCCTTCAATACAGAAGAACATATAAACTCTTAACCTTGGCATTCAAGGCCCTCTGTAATCAGACTCCAAACTACCTTTCCAATTTTCTTCCCTTTATACACTCTACATACCAAATGGGAATACTACCCACATCCATTCTCTTCCTGCCCTTTCCCATTCTTGTACCATTGTTTCTGTAGTCCTTCCCTTCACTCAAAGCCCAACTCAGGAATCACATTCAACACGAAGTCTTTCTAATATATAGGAGTTGCCCTGATGGCTAGTCTGGACCTATTGAATTTCTTTTGTATCTCTTTAAAGAGATGTTAATCCATTAACAAGGCTACTTCTTTAAAAAATAGATGTCAATTTACCAGGCCCTCAGTACTTACTCTCCTTGTCTCCTTAAGACAGAAGACAAAATTC